ATTCCTGCTTCCTCCCTCCTCAGATAAGCTCCTTCATAAAAGATCTGAAAACATCAGCTGGACATAAGCTTATCAGCTGAGTCACAGTACTGATTTTATGGCTAGTCTGAAATTAATGGCAGGTTTCCCTTGACTTCCAAGAAACCAGGATTCCCTAATATTTATTTCTGGCTGTACTCAGGCCTGGTTTATGGAGAATTTTCAGTTTTCTATTCCAGCAGTAGGAAAAAAATCCTGCTATATGTAGAGCCAGAGCCAGTCTAGTGCAAACTGCTTGAAAATGCTGGTGCAGCATTAGTTTTATGAATGGGAGCTCAATCTTAATTTCAGGATTTATTGTCGTTCGCAGAATGTTACTAGAGGCTCCAAAATGCCTGTCTGATTAAGCAGAGAAAGGACTTACCTGAGCACTGGGAAAAGGCTGTAGATTATGGCATTTCCCTTCAATTCTAGAAAAGAAAATAAGGGGGGAAAAGTCTGCCGAGACCTGCCATGCAGCAGATGTAGGTAGTGGAAGACACTAGTGTCTGTGGTTTGGCTGGCTCTCCCAGAAGTACATCTGGGAGCAGGAAAATACTGGGATTCCTCCTCTGTGGGTATTTAGCTGAGCCCATTTAGTCTCATCTTTCTTTTTATTATTTCCTGAGGACCTGAGGGAGGTTATGAACTAGAAGCTGGACTAGAAAAAGTTAGAAATCTGTGAGGTGCTCAATGCTGCTGCTGCTGTTAGAAGACTAATAATCTCTGAGCAGGAGATGGAAAAGCCCTATAAATAATTTTGACTTCCCAGAGGGTTTCACCTGAGCCTCCTGCTCAGGTTTTCCAGATACACAGACCATGATCCTGACATGCCAACAGCCCAAACAAGCAGTGAGTGTTGCTAGTTTTTTTTAACTGCCTTCACAGTGTCACAGATGTGTGTGATGCTTCATAAACTCCCTATGACAACAAGGACTGAAATCCTATGTGTGCCCTGTAGAAACTGAGGGGAACTTTGACACCAAAGTCAGCAACTTACACTAAAATCTGCCTGTGTGCCTGCCCTGGGATGGCCAGATGAGACAAGCAGAGGTCTCAGGGAATGGCAGGATAATGTGATGGTTTCTCTGCCAAACATGTCGTGCATCCAGGGCTTACAAATATTAAATTGAAATAGAAAACAAGCAATAAAGAAACCTAATGACAGCAGGCTTTGAATTATGTTGGGAGGGAAAGGGAAGTGGTAGAGTAGGGACCCTCCCTGGCCCAATCTTCCAACACTACCCATGTAGCATGAGCCCATGTCACAGAGAGGGGGGGAAAAAACTAGATCCCTGCCCCAGCATAGAATGTTTAGGGCTGCATCTTCCCCTCTAGCCTCTGTAGTAAATGAGATGGGCTCAAAGGTGCAGAAACTCTTTCCGTCTCACTAGTGTCCTTCCTTTGCCAGAGCGAAAATGCCACCACTGCAAGGGTTGTGACCCAGGAGGCTGCAAGGTCACCGGCAGCAGCAGCACTGAGCTTGCACAAGCAGCTTGGAGAGATCGAGGCAATAATCCTCAGCTGGCAGCAAGGGGGCCAGGCTGCTGGATAAGTAAGGCTAGGAGAGTGGGCAGAACTGCCTAAGGATTGCAAGCTGCTGATCAGCAGCTTTGTGGCCCCTGCTGTCAGAGCTGTGAGCCAGCAATCAGCTCCAGGGCTGGGGCAGAGGATGAGCTAGAGGATTTGAGGTCTGCATCACTCCATACAGGTCCTGGTTCAGAGACTGGCCTTGCTGGCTGCTCTTCCTTGTCCCTGCAGCACCTGCCACCAGTCTCCTCTGCAAGAGGAGAGGGGAAGGCAAGGAAGTGCATGTAAGATGGGTTCAAGGGAGCTCCAGCTGCAGAGCTTGCCATGCATGCAAGCACCCCAATGGCAGGAGCCCTGCCCAGCCACAGCAGCATCTTCTCCTCAGTGTGGCAGGAAGGTAGGATCTCACTGTAAGGTATCAGAAAAAATACCTGATTGATTTCTTTAAACCCAAGAAGAAAACTTAAAAAGCCACCTAGGACAATAGGCCCTTCTAGCCATGAATGCCACAGAAGGTACAGCATGGCAGGAAAAACATTCAGACACCCTGTTAGCTCCTCATTTAATGTGTTATGTATCAAGTTTCATTCTGATTAATTGAAGCCGACACAGCTCAAGAAACCAAATGAAGCCTTAAATGAAAAAAGAACCAGCTTGAACCAACTAGGGCTTGGCACGGTGGGACTCAGCTGGAGAGACACTTCAGACGGGGAGCACGTGTGTGTCAGAGCAGAGCTTCAGTGTTGAGTCTTATCCCAGTTTACCTGGCCCTGGCTCTGGACCAGTTCTGCCCTGGTCCCTTTGCAAAGCGAGGCCTGTGATGGCTCCATCTGCTGCGAGTGGCAGTGGCAGCAGCTTCCCCTTGGGTACAGCGAGGAGGTCACTGAGGTGAAGAATGGACAGAACAGACATGAGCAGCGCTTTCACACTGATGGTTAAAATAAAAATACTGATCCAAGAGCCTCCTTTACAAGAGGTTTGCTTGAGGTTAGTGGCTACAGGCAGGCATTTCCACTTCTCTCCTTCTCTTTCATGACCTGCTGGGTTGGGTCTGTGTGGTGGGGCTTTGGTAGCACAGGGGTGGCTCCTGTGAGAAGCTGCTGGGAGCTTCACTGGCTCCAAAATCTGGACCTGCCTCTGCCCAAAGCCAAGCCCATCAGAAACTGTGAAAATGCATCTGCGATTGACCTATTGAAGAAGGGGAAAGGAAGCTGCTAAAAGACCTGCAGGGATGAGGAGGAAGTGAGAGTGATACCTGAGCAGACATGCTGTGGTCAGTGAGGAAGGAGGGGAGGAGGTGCCCAAGCAAAGGTTCCCCTGCAGCCCATGGAGGAGCACGGTGGAGCAGCCCATGAAGGACCAGGGTGGAGCAGATGTGGAACTGCAGGACCCCTCGCCAGGGGAGGTGACTGTTCCCAGAGCAGCCTGTGACTCCGTGGGAAGCCTGTCCTGAAGCATTCTTTTCCTGAGGGACTGCACCTCCTACGAGGTTACATCTGTTCTAAGATGCCTCTACCTGCCAGTTTTGCTTTTAAAAATTCATTTCTTCTTTTCCAGACCTTTTTAGAGATATGTGAGCAATGGTCTACAGCAGCTATTGGTGCAAAGCCCATCTGTAGAGCAGAAAAGTAGCCACTCTTTGACTACAGATACCATCATCGCCACCAAAAGAGTCTTCTTGTCAAGACTGCTTCTGATTTTTTAAAATCCTCAGAAAAGTTAAATGATTCATGGCATCTCCACAGCCTCCTAGAGGTTGCAGAGCCTCACCCAGTGGAATCACTGTCTGTGCTTCTCATGTTTAGGAGGTTTCCCGCAAGACCCAGGGATTTTCTCCAGTAATGCCTGAACGCTGCATCTGACCCCATCTCCGCTCACTTCTCACCCTCTCCTTTGAGATGTTTTGTATTGGGTAAATGGCAAAATAACTGAACCAACCTCTTGAGTTTATCTGCAATAATTTTGATGTGTTTCTCTTCCAGACATGTGCATTGCCGCAGCAATATCCCTTCTTATGATTCTGATCTGTGCAATGGCTACCTATGGTGCCTATAAGGTAATTTGTTCTGTTTGGGGAAGACATGAATCAAGTGAACTCTACAACTCTGTAGAAACAAAATTTAAAGGATTTCTTTCTAACAATTTATTGTTTAGTTGTTTTGCTGAAAACTGAGAGGGAAAAAAAAATCACAAGATGCAGCAGCACTGATTGCTTAGATCAGTGGTATCCCAGGGCCCTGTGCTGCCAGCAGGAAGACTGCCCTGTTGACTGTCTGCAGTTTTAAATATGAGTATGATCTGGGCAAACTGTGAATTCAGACAATTGAATCTTGTACCTACTGAAGTTAAGGGAAATTTTTCCCATCTATCTCCCATATCTGTGGTTTGTCCCAATATTAATTAGAGGGGGAAAAGTATCATGTGGTTTCTAAATGTCCTAGTCTAATGATTTGTGGGACTTGCACTGCACATATTACTGCAGTTCAGCAGCCAAACTGGCTTGGCCAGTCCTTTTGGCTGAAGGCTATATTTCTTCTAGCTGATTTAACAGGGCATTGAGTCAAATATTCCTCAGGTTTTAGTGCAGGAAGTTATATATCCATCTATTTTAACTTGTGGCTGATGAGTTCTATTTCCTTTTTAGCAACATGCAGCTTGGATCATCCCTTTCTTCTGCTACCAGATCTTTGACTTTGCTCTCAACACGCTGGTTGCCATCAGTGTGCTTGTCTATCCCAGCACAATTCAGGACTACCTCCGCCAGCTGGTAAATCACTTGATGTTCACAAACTTTTGGGGGCTCTGGGAGAAAAAAACCTGTGCAAGGTGTACTGTTTGTCCTGTATTTCTAGATAAGAGTTTTCTTTTGACTTCCTATGCAGTCTTTGAAAAGTCCTGTCCTTCCTTGCTAGTCTATATCCAACATCCTTGCAAAGTTACACTAGCAACTTAATACAATATTTCTGCAGCACTCAGGAGTTCTGCAATGTTGTGGAAGCTTTCACTCAGCATCACTTCATTTAGAATGAGTCTCATATTGTATGACATAGATAATAAGTAAATGCTTTTGGATTCAGAGGAGTTGTGTTCAGATCCAGCAGCTTAGCTTTGGTGTCATTTCAAGGGTGTTTTGTTGGTCATTTTCATTTATTTGGTGGCTTTAACACAGATTTCATTAGGCACGAGTTTGATTCAATGTAGAGGGTTTTTTGCTAGAAAATATTTTTGGATTCTGTCTTAGGGGCAATTAGAGGCCTCCATCTTGCCATGGTCTGCTTCAGCCAAACATCCACAGGCTGTATTGCATAATCTTACCAGATATCATTGCAGCAACCTAAACTAAAGATAAGAGCCCAACAGCCTCTGTCTCATCACAGGACCACGTGCCACATCTGACAGGGTTCAGGTGGAGCTGCAGAGCTCTGGAGAAGCCAGCACTGCGGCTGTCTCTGAAAATCTGCCTTGAGAACTTGAATACAGATTAGCTTGGCTGTGAACTTTGTTATGTGGATGGAAAACTAGTGAGGGCAGTATAAATAACAGGTAATGAGAAACAGCAGGCAGATAAGTAGCCACACAAATCTGCAGGAAGAGGCAATGTGTCAAGCCAGCGGGAGCTGGGATGCATCAGGAGCTTGTTATTCCTCACCTTATTTAACATCTGCCTGCTGATGCTATACTGGAAGACTAGCAGAGGAATAATTCAAAAGGTTGTCAGAGATATAAGTGGAAAAGAGCAAATTATGACCGTAGCTTGGCGAGTGCTTGAAGCTGGTATCTCCACTGGCTGGAGCCCTCCTGCCCATCCTTTGCCTGCTGTCCCTTTCGTCTACATCTGCACCAGTGCTGCTCTTCTGGCAGCACAAGCATCTATGTGGCTTCATGACCCACCCCCTTCCCAAAGCATGAGTTTTACTGTCTTGGACACTGTGCAAGAAGATGAGTGGGTCAGGAGCAGGCTGAGAGCTGCACACCAAAAAGCCTCTGCTTTTCTGCTGAAAACCTGGTGCCATATCTGTACCTGGCTCACTAGAAGTGCAAAGAACAGCTGATTCTCTCAAACTGTCTGCTCAAACATTACTGTCATTCCTGCAGATAAAAAAGAATAGTCCCCTGCCAAAGAGAAAATACAAGGAGCAGGCCTTGGAAGGTGCAGCAGAGCACTTGATGAGCTGCATTGCTGCCCTGGAGCATTAAGACCTCTGGTTGCACACACTCTGTCTCACTGGTATCAATCATTCTCCAGACTGGTGAGAAAATGCTGCAAGACTTCAGGAGTGTTAAACTGTCAGTGTTCAAGAGGGCAAGGGGGATTTCCAGGATAATTATAGGCTGATTAGCCTGACATTGCTACCAAGCAGGGTAATAACAGAAGGGCTGAGAGTCAATAGATAAAGGATTAGACCAGAGGACTATGATTAATGACTGCCAGCTCAGTTTCACGGAAAATCAGTCCTGCAGGCAAACTCATTTTCTTTCCCTGACAAGATTATTGGCTCTGTCAATAAAGATGGGCAGGGGCATAATAGACTTCTGTGAGACATTTGACTTCGCAGCATGATCCTCAGAGCAACAATAAAGCACTGGATCGATAAAGGATGTATCAAATGGATTAGGAGAGGTTAGCTGCCAGACTGCAAAGGGTCCTGGTCAAGCCAACCATCTGCCAGTGAGTTTCTATTTTGGGTAGAGGAAGGTCTCCAGGAGCCAGCAGTAGATTTCATGCTCTTCCTGACTTCCATTAATAACCTTAGTACCCAAGAGGCCATTCACAAAGGCTAACATCAGCCTTAGGAGAACTTCCCCAGGATCACTGTCTAGAGGGATCAAGTCCTCTAGCAGGAAGTTGCAAGCAGAAGCCTAATCTGGCCGTTCTGTGTCATCCTCTGAAAGACCCTATCCCTGCATTGCCCAAAGTGATCGCATCTCTCTATTTCCCAGAGGCAGTATTTCTGAATTTTCCCAGCAAAATAACTTCTAATAAAATCTGTGGCTGACACAGAGGTTTAGAAAGAAGTAACTAACACTAAGAATGGAGCTCTTAATCAGAGTGAGCTAGATTGACTGAGAACCTGATTTCAGCTATTAGTGTGTGTTATGTTACTAAATGCAAAGAAATGAGCATATAGTATGGCAACTGTACCTGGGATGCAGTGACCCTGTAAGCAGAACTAAATACTAAAATAAGAGTCCCCAAGTTTTATTGCTGTTTGCAAAAACTGATTGTGGACAGAAAAAAACATCAATGAATAGTAATGGAGAGGAGACTTCTGTTCGCAGTTGGTGACATAGGTTTCATCTGCCTGTGGTCTCTGGTTGTAAAGAAAAATGCTTAAAAGTTACAGCATCCAGACAAGTTCCTCAAAAAACTATATAAAAGCTGGATATATTATAGTATGATGAGACACAATTAGATTTTCCTGCTTCGTTTACAGGCAAAGGAGACCCAGAAGTGATGCTGTTAAGAGTCTTATGTAGAATAATGAGGTGTGAAAAGGCTGCTTAAATTAGATGAGAGACATAATGAGTAGGTAAAAGCTAGCCCAGGTTCATTTAGACACATAGAGTCTATCTGTTTTAACATTCACAGTGGAGGTAAGTGGTTGGCAAAAACTACCAAGAGTTGTGATGAATTTTGTACAGTTAGTGTTGGCTGTTCAACGAAGTTTTGAAGGTGTTTTAAAGGTGTTCTGTATCTGCTTTGAAGATGTTTATGCCTCCTGTGTCTTAGCTATGGTCCCAAACACAAGTGGCTCATCAGGAACCCTCATAACTTTTCATGGAAGGGCCACATCAGTTGGCAAAAGGCTGTTGCATTTGGTTCAGACCAAATACTGTTTCTCTGAGAGGGCAGAAGCAAAAGAGACAGGTGAAGATCGTATCCGCTGGTATCAGATACTGAGATGTACAACGAGATGAAACTAAACTCAAGCTTTTAACTTTTTAAACAATAATGCCACCAATGCAGTACTAGCACATAAATATTGTTAAACAGGCTTGTACTCATGGACTTGTTTCCCTGCCTTTTAATAATAATCATGACAAGTCTGTCATCTCAAACACCCCTTTCAGAACAAGACTGCAGTTAATACCTTTGTGCTGCAGGTGAGATCTGAGTCATGCCAGTTGGGTGTGATCCCTCCTAATGATTTATAGATAAGCCCTAGAGTCATCTTGCCCTCACCTCTTTTGCAGAGGTCTGCCAAGGTAGGCAGAAAGAAAGGGTTGTGTTTCTTCCTGGCATTCTTACAGTTTTTGTTCCTCTGAAACTGCTTTGAATTTGGGGAATGATATTTCAGGGAGTCCACTCCATAATAGAAATGAAAAATCCTGATTGTTCTTCAAATCCATTATTGAATATCTGGAAGAAGGTATGCATTAGGTAATTGCATATATTTGGCAGTCTCAGAAGAACATTTTTTTATTGCTCTTAGGTGAAAACCCCATGTTTTTAACCATTTCTGCTTTCCTGCCCAGCACCTGGAATTATGTAACCTGCTCCCTGTGGTGCACATTGGCCAGATTTCAGTCGCTCAGTGATGAGTTGCAAGCTATTGTGAAACCCTCCGTGTACTTTTAGCAGGATGATAAATGGGTACCTATCCATAGGCTAGGCAGAACCTGAGCTGAAAGTGCTGCAGTTGTAAAATACAGAACATTGTGTTCCCGGGCTATTTCGTAATATCACCCAACACTGGCTGCTTCTTTCAGAGGCTAAGCGTCTTTGGAAACTTTTTGTTACCTTTTAATGCCCAGTTGCACACAGGTGTGCAAGCAGATGTTGCAAATCAGATAATTAAGATAGATAAGCAGATAATTGCAAATCTAGCATTTGAAATGTATGGTGATCACATGTGATAAAATTTTCTAAGGGTTATGTTGGACATCTTGGTTATTATCACTGTCACTAGAAAAACAAAAACCTTCACACACAGGAAATCCAGCATGTGTAAAATAAAAATAATTTTGTTTCTTGGAACAGTAGTGGTCTAAAGCAGTTGGACCTAGAGCACATTTCTGTAGCCCCACTAAATCTTTGATATATGGGCTTTCTAAAGCCTTTGAATTAAACACTTAATCTTCTGTCATCTGATAACAGGACACAAAATGAATTGGAGCAGAAGTGCAGACCAGGGTTTTTCTGCAACTGAGTTATGCAAACTTATTTTTATTAAAGTCCAGGACTATTACAGTTAATCTAATGAAGATTTCAAAATATATTGATTAGCTTTACTATGGAACTACTGGCAAAGCTGCAGTCTAACAATTCAGGTGGAATCAGTCATGTTTTTAAATCCCAGGGGAAACATCTAGAGAATGTAAAAGAGATTAAATCTAAGGAAATTTTTAGCATAAACTAAAGCTTAAAAAAGGAGTTTCCTTACTGACATTTTAATGCCATTCTATAAATTCCAAATAAGAAGTACTGCTGAATTTACAGCAGAGCTTTAAAAATTCTACAGACACATTACTGTTTTCTTTCAATTTTGTAAGATTCTGATACTCAGGGGACTGTAATTGTTGAATGAGAATCCACACCACCTTTTAAAGTGCAGGTTTTGTGGTCCAAGGGAATGAAAACATGAAAGTTTATGCAAGCAGGCTGTAGGAATAAGAAAGGGTTTCAGCCCTGGGCTTTTCATTCTTCTTGTGCATATATTCAATATCTATGCACAGAAATATACTTTCTGTGCAAGTTTTATATTATTTTTATGTGTCTAATAGAACTTTGCTATGTATAAGCTGTAGGTTTTTTCTTAAATTGAAAGATAACCAGGCATATTATACATGCAGCCCTCTCTGTGACAAAGTTATAAATGACACTTAAATTATGACTTTAACATGCCAGTGACACACCACTACCACTGCCTCTTGTTTGTATAGAAAATATCATCATGTTGTGCTGCAAGATCACTTATTTCCAGTGACAGCCTTGGTTTTCCCCACCCAGTCATATTTCAGTCTCAGCTTCATCAAACCTTGCACAGCATTTGACACTGAGCTTTTCCCAGAAGTCACAGCACTGAGCCCCGTGCCCAAGGCCTTCCCAGCAGCAGGATTTCATTTTCTTGTCTCTGCACAGGAGAGCAGACCTCCAGTATGGGAGAATTTCTCTTCCCAAGTCACACCCACATCAGTGTTTAAACTTATCATTGCAGACAGTGGAAGGCAATGGGTCTTTGATTCCTTTGAACCACTGTTCGTACATGTTCTCCATGGGAGTAAATGAGATTTTGGCTCATGCATGTTCTCCATGGGAGTAAATGAGATTTTGGGAGCACCTGCTGCCATGGAAGGTTCCCAAGGGTCTCCTGATGGCACCAGCTCCGTGATGGTGCCTGTACCAGATGAGCCTGGAGCCAGCAGAGACAGTCCCACCATCTTTTATGCTTCTTTGCCAAAAGCTGCAGGTCAAATAAATTGCTTTTCCTACTGCACTGAAGGAGTTTGTAGTTGTGAGTCAAGATCAGGCTGCTCATAGGCCAGCCCGGGCAGGGCAGCGTTAAACATCATCTGGTCGGCAGGTGCCACCAGCCCAGTTAGCAAACAAAGGGAGTTTCTTCCATGCTGACCTGATACCCCTGAGCTATTAATCACAGCCCACACAGTTAGCTGAGTCCAGAAGCTCTGGGAAGTGCTGGGCTTCAGTTTTTACACCCCACATCAAGATCTCCCTGGCACATGTGGGTGGGGGTAACCACAACATGGATGCAGAATCTACTGCCTTGCTGGGGCTTGCTTACACCTCACATCTCTTCAGGACAGAGACGGGGAAAGCTGAGCCCGAAGGGGACAAAACACAGCATTTACTCCTCACTTGCTGCCCTGGCTTGCTGCTTTCCATGCTGAATTATTGTCCTTTCACCTGAAACACTGCTGATACATGGGAGGACCAGGTGCTGCTCAGCAGCACATGCTGCACCCAGACTTGGCCAGTGCTCATGGCTCCAGCAGATGTTACAGCTCTTCAAGGTAGCAGGAACTTTCTTGGTCACTTTCCTGTCCTTCTCTTGCCCCTGTGCAAATCCCAGTTGAGTTGATATCTGGAAACAAGCCATTAGGTTATGGCCAAGACCCAAGCATGCGGTCATACAGACTTTCACTGGTGACTGGCTCCCAAAAACCAGAGTGTAGGAGGACCAAAACCTTTCTAGGAGTTTTTTTAGTACATTCACAAACTTGTTTGAGTAGTTTATAAATGGTAGGCCAGTACTAAAACCACATTTGAGGCAGTTTTTTTTAAAATCTGTCCTTAAATGACTTGGACTTAGACTTGAAACACTTGGACTTCCTCACCATGTGCATGGCCTCCTCCTGCAAGCAGAAGGGCAGGCTATGGCATTGATACTTAAATTTTCTGCATATAAGGTTTGTGTTCATGTTTCAGCACATCTTTTCTTGGCATATACTCTTGCTTTCTTGGTCTCTGGGTGGCTGCATCCACTATATTTAGCAATAACTTTCTGTGGGGGAAAAAAATAAAAAGAAGCAACCCACTGAATTGCAGCAGGCTAGTTTCCTACAAAAGCTGTACCTCAACAAAGAAAATAACATGATAAAAACTTCAGCCATGAAGTTCTGTACAGGAACAGAAACACTGCTGTCAAGAAGCAGAAAATGTGCTTATGTAACATTTATCTGCAAAGGGTTACAGCTGCTGTTGATGTTAACCACTCTGAACAGTTCATGGAAATGCTAAATAAAGAGCTATTCTCACTAGCAGCTGTCCAGAAAGAGAAGATTTCCTGGTGCACTGGGCTGAGTGCTGGTGTAAGGGTTATTAAGGAGTTACACCAACATGGCAAAGAATACAGTTATAGCTTGGTCTAGTTAATTGTCCTGACATGGATGCAGAGCTGGCCTGGTTAAGTAATTAGACCTGTAAGGGAAAAGGGGGTTGTGTGTAGAAGGAGCTGATGCATTCAGTTATAATGAGCTACTGTTGCAGCAGAGCTATCTTTTGTGGAGGGTAACTCTGTGAACAATGGTTTATTCTAACTGAAACAGGAACTTGTGCCTTGCAATATTTCAAATTTATTTGGAACATGCACTTTAAAGGGTGTGTTTTCTGTAAGAAATAACAAACACAGAAAAAAAAATATTAGAGGTTGTTTTTCAGCTGATGATCCTAAAGTGTTTCACAACTGTAAATCACTAGAGCCTACTCTAAATAGGAAGATTAATTCTGTCATCTCCATTTTGTGTATGAGATAACAGAAGGACCTGGAGCACATTTGGATTTGAAATCACGCCAGTGCTCTCCCATAGGACCCATGCCTCCAAGAGGCATGCACTCAGACAGCACTACTTCTCCTGGAGAAGTAGGCCAAATTTAGCCTAAATAAGATGGAGCAGAATAGACCCAATGTCTTTCAGTCAAATATTTAGGTTAAAAGATCATGCTGTCCAGCTTTTCCTGCTTTGAATTTCTGGGAGGAAATGTCACAGGTCTTGGCAACCAGTGCCACTGATAAGCTAATAAGTACAGGACTTGCCTGCCATTGACCAAGATTGTAGGTTTCCTACTGCAAAGCTCCCAGAGAGATGTCCTTTGCTAGTCTGTGTCAGATACAAACCCACTGTGCACAGAGGAAAAGCCCCACCACATACAAAGCAAAAAGCAAATCCCTCAGCCCTCCAGGGAACGTTTGGCAGCTGAGTCTTCACAATGCCTGTTTCAGCCAAACTTATTGAAACTGGTTATTGGTGCGGAGAGCTCCTGATTTAGTAGATCACAGAAAGTTTTGTAAGCTGTTAATTATAAAGTGCACTATTTGAATGGCTCTTAGATGACTCGTGAGATTAACTTGCAGTGTTTTGCTTATTCTTGCTTATGCAGCCTGCCAATTTT